ACTTCCCTTTTTATAAAATAAGTCATCTTTAGTTTCGTGTTATGTGTAGTATGTGATATCAAGTATTTTCTTATATTATAATCTCTAATATTTTATTCCTGTAAACTTCCTGTTAACTATATTTGATACATGAAAGAATTTTTAATCTAGAATATTAGTTTGTTATTAAACTTAGAATGCTTTAAATATTAACATTTTCACGGGAAGATGACGTTTAAAAGTAGAGGGCTGTGCAAAGGGACTGTACACGTAATTTCAATTTCAATTTCCGATTCACAAAATAAGGCCTTTAAACTTTTGTCCCATCATACACCCAAGTGCTTGTAATATGTATAATAAAACAAGACATTCGTATATATATATATATATATGTCACCTATAGCTGGCGTGGCTGGACCGATTGGGCTAAATTTTTTTGTGGGCACTCATGGGGGCCCCCAAGGCTAAAAAAATCAAAAATATTTTTTTTTCAAATTTTTTTCTTTCTCAAAATTTTGTTTTCAATTTTTTTTTCACGGGCAACGCCGGGTCCTTCAGCTTGTTGTTATTAGCTTTGCTTGCAAGCTGTTAAATATTTTTACCATACTATTACACATTTTATGGAATCACAAAAAATAAACATTTTCTTTCAAATTAGAAAAAAAAGAAAAATGAAGACAAGAGAAAATGGTTAAAAATTCACCTCTGGAATGCTTGACATCCATTCCCTTTTCTCAGGTTCATCCCGGTTCATATTCGGATACTTGTTCATCAAATCCGAGATATCTTCAACTGTGTTGGGTTCAGGTTCATCCCGGTTCATATTCGGATACTTGTTCATCAAATCCGAGATATCTTCAACTGTGCTGGGTTCAGGTTTAGAATCAGAGTTCGGGTTAGATTGAGTTCTCAATAAATCCTGCTGCATTGGTTCATCACCCGGGACGGATTTGTCTCCGGGTGGAACCATAGATCTCCGGGTTCTAAGGAACACCAACAAGGACGGATCTAAGCTTTGAACGAGTTTCTCCTGTTCTTCCAAGATTTCTTGTTCAGACATAGCCTGAAAAATGTATTTCTTTCACATTTATCAATGTAAAATTTAATAAAATCTTCTATTCAATATTTTGTCAAACACAATTTAGATTTGTGACATTCAAACTTTTGTCAACCTTTTTTTCCATATTCATTATTAAATTTGAAATTTTTAACAATATTCTTTAAATAGTAATATCATAGCAGATGCAAATATTTTGACATTTCTATTTTATTGTTCTTCATTTTCTTCTTGTTCGTACATCTTTCAATAATTTTTCTGCTAATTTTGAAAAAAAAAATTTGGGGGGGGACATCCTAGCAGTTTGCCAAACTGCCAGCTCTAGAACTAGGTTAAGGTGACTTATTTCCTATTTTTCTGCACTTCACACAGAGGTCCGAACCCCTCTAAGAGCAGAAAGCAACTATTTTGTCAAAACTTAAAATACAACAAATTTAGGCTATCGTTCTCCATGCTTTTGCTGCTCAGATATCCGCATGTTGCTCACTAGAACAGCAACGGTTGGATACTTTCCCTTTTGTGAGAAGTCCAACCCGGAAAAAAGATATTACATATTAGCAAGATATGTTCGGGTTTAAATCAATTAAGAACTTGTTTCTTATGACAACTTTTAAGATGAAACTAATTCTTGTAAAGCGTTTTAATATTTAAAAATCTTAATATGCTATCTTTGAAAAGCTTGTCAAATTGAAAATCTTTAATTTGACCAAAAAGCTAAATTAAAGTTCAATATTAATTTAACAATTTAAAATATACACAAAAATTCAAATTAGGTAAATCGACATAGGATGGGAAGATGGGGGGCCATCTTAATAAAAAGTAGAACACCGTAATTTGAAACCTTGGACCAAGGTGGGTTAGTGGAGGTTAAAATAATTTAGACATACAATCTACACTGGACATACATTGACGTACTTCTCCATAATTTGACATAATTTGACATGAGAGTTGTAAATTGGCATTACAACAGTATCACATAAATAAGGATTAATTTGAATGTATAAAGTTCATTTATAAATCTAACCTCCAACCTCTTGAAGTTTTCTGTATGCAACTCTTCAGCCTCCGTCCAAGATTGGAGTCCAGATCCCTCCAGAATAAAACTGCGCCCTCCGATGCTCTCTAAAACAAAAGTATAGATATATATAAGAGTGGAAATCTCTGTTTGTTATTTTTTCTGATCATAACTCGCGAGCCCTTTGACCGATTTGCCTTAAACTTTGATTGTGTAACTCAATAAAACCACAAAAATTATCTTAGCTTGGTTAAAAAATTCTTCATTGAATGGGTTTATACATTTATAGAGCATCTTTGTTTTAGCTGGGGTTCCAAGCAAGTAACTTAATATTTTGATATTTGCAGGGGTGTATGATTTTCATTTTGCCCCCCCCCCCCCCGATGAGCTATTCAAGGGGTTAGGAGGAAATGAAGAAAAAAGGGAAAAGGGGGAAAAGAGGGGGAAGAGAGAAGGAAAAAGGAGAAAAAAGAGGAAAAGAAGGAAATTATTTTTAATCCGCTGGTTTTGGCACACAGGAAACTAAGCAAAACCTTTTGGGAAAAATATGATAGGTTAAGTTAGTAAAGGAAGGAAAAGGGGGAAGAGGGAAGGAAAAGGGGGGGAAGAGGGAAGGAAAAGGGGGGAAGAGGGAAGGAAAAGGGGGGAAGAGGGAAGGAAAAGGGGGGAAGAGGGAAGGAAAAGGGGGGAAGAGGGAAGGAAAAGGGGGGAAGAGGGAAGGAAAAGGGGGGAAGAGGGAAAGAAAAGGGGGGAAGAGGAAGGAAAGGGGTAAAGGTAAGGAAAAGGGGGGAAGAGGGAAGGAAAAAGTAGGAAAAAGAGGAAATTTATCTTTATCTGCTAGTTTTGGTTTACACAGGAAAATATCATATTTTTCCCTCAATAGCGATGTCATGTTTTCTCCTTTTAAAAAGCTAGTCGGTTACTGTGCAATGTACAATGAGTGAAAATATTAAGAATTAAAAAAACATCTCAGGGAGACCTGGTTATTAACCTTTATAGGGCACCAAAAAAAATTTTCGCCAATGAAAGAAATGATTCGAAGGGGGGGGGATATGAGTCTGAGAACGGATAAACACCTCTGGATATTTGCTGAAAAAATTCTTATCTATTTTTTTCCTCGAAAATAAAAAACTAAATTAATATTTTTGTCAATATTCTTGGAATAATATTCAGGCAATCAGGGATGATGTTCTACTGACTTTTATATTATTATGAATTTTAAAACCCTTCTCTATTTTAGGAGTAATTTGTGTGTAATTAACAAAATCCCTAGAATACTTCGGGACAATTAGTTTTCTAAAACAAAGCAGAAGTTCATAAAAAAAACTTGATCTCATAAAAACCAATTTTCTGGTATTAAATAATGGAAAAATAAAAGTTCCGAGATTTATTATCAAGAAAAATTCTACTTAAAGATTTTAATTAAAATAATAAACTTTAGGGTTACTTTCAAGAAAAAGTATATTTAAATGTTGACATTTGAAATCCTGATTAGCTAACCTGCAAGATTTTGTGGTTTGTTGAAGGATTGGGATGAAAGAGTAGAATCGGAGAAACCTTGTTTCATTTTCATAAACTGCTGAGAGAATAAACTCCTCTTGGTTTCACCAGACCCGGATATTTTATCCAACTTTAAGATCTCGGGAAATCCCGTTGAGCCACTAGGACAGGGTGGGACCGGGAGACGGGAGCAGGTCCTCTCTCTTATCTCCGATAGAACGGATAGGTTGACAATCTCCGGAGCAGGTTCGGGTTTACTTCGGGATTCTCTCTGGCGGGCAAATACTGATTTGGGTTTCTTTATCTCCGGCTCGGGACCGGAGTCGGGTTTCCTTTTGTTGACAAGATCGGAAGAGGCCGGAGCAGGATTCTTCTCAAACTCCTTCATCATTTCGTCCAGGTCAGACTCCCCGGGTTTGGGACGACGTATCATTTTCTCTGAAAACAGATCACACTGAAACAATAAATTCGATAAAATCCTTTATATTTATTCTTAATACATACATACACAATTACCAAGGTTTAAAACCTAAACTTTTACAGGTTTAATAAATCGATAAATTTATAAAATAGATTTGGAGAAATAATATATCTCGTTTTCCAAGGAACTGCGTTGAAATTGAACTCCTAGTGATTTAAAAATCTAAATATAACCACCGAGTCTCATGATCAGGGTTGATATAAGGGAGAAAAAATTATTTAAAATATCGAAAAGAGCTAGTTTTCTTCTGTAATTTAAAAAAGGGGTATTTCTTAACATTTCATTTACAATTGACAGAACATTTTAACATCTCGACGTACTCAATAATACACAATGTGTACTGTGTACGGCATGTACACAACTTATATTAAAATGACAAATAGATTTCTCTAAAAAAAAACAAGCAGTGTATTTTTAACATCTATGCAATGCTATGATAGAAATATATATGTTTCACGGCAAATAATATCTATAGAAAATTATTTAACTTTAACTCAAAAATGTAAGATGAATTAATATTTTGATTTGGCGCGAGTTAAAATATATTGATTTAGTACAATAAAGGATTATTGATTAATAGTCTGCCTCTCACGAATTTGTTTAATTCTAATTTTCATAAATTAAAGTTTAATTCGTGAAATTTACTTTTCAAAAATCCTCAAAAATTTATTTGATAAATTTAAAGAATGGCTTAACTTTTAAATTGACAGTTTAAAAAATACCAAGACATATTTTCCCGTCGTGGCAAGTTTCAATCCTTGAATTTTATCTTTGAGAAGATAATAGAATTTCTAATTTTGAAGAATAAAATTTTAAAATTTAAAAGAGGAGCTTATTATTTTATTATTTTTCTCTAGAGTCGATGCTTACATTTTAGAAATACTGAGTGCACCCTTACCCGAGGTCAAAACGTTTGTGCGAAACAAAGATAATTTACACCACTTGATCTCGATATCCAATCCGACAACTTTTAAAATTGACGAATAATTTATTAATCCATCGTTTTTGTTATACAGTTATCACGGGATTCACGAGATATAGGGAATTGATTTGAAGAGCTCCATGGCTTTGTGAGTAGCGTCGCTGGTCACGTAACTGCGACTAAAACTGCAATCTAGCAATGAACATTTTGCTGCTTGCCCCTTCGCATTCCGACCGGTGGGATTAAATTACAGTCGTTGTCGGTCATTAAACATTGAATGACGAATTGATGTAATAGTTTAGTAGGTTCCGTGCAGTATGCAGGTCCATGAGACAGTTGTAACAAACTTCTCTGGTGTCTGAAATCTGCTGCCGACGGAAAGAATTTACCAAATTCCACAGGCTACAATCAGGGTCCATATAATTCCATATGATCAATCCCAAATGTTGATGGATTGATGGTGGGGGCTGAAATAAACCATGTTGTTATTGTAAACAATTGGAAGTATGATGTCAAGTTGTAGAAAAAATTCCATACTGTGGAATGTTTACTGCAAGGGAGTGTTTAATTTTCTGTATATCATTATTTATCTCTTATATTTAATACTAATATTTACATCTTTTAACACCCCAAATGCAGTACACATTTCTGAAGTGTAGTACACGTGCACAACGACATAAAGTGTACTTTCATGCCCCTAAATGTTCTTTCAACCCCGATCCCATTTGGGATCAGAAATGTAATTATATGGACCCCTGGAGCCTACAATAGATATTATACTACTACAACGGAAATTGATTTAACCCGTATATTTTTTGATTCGTATTTACAACACAATAAGTGTCAACCTTAATTTTTATGCATAAAAAGTTCTCCCGAATTTTGAAATCTAAAGAGAATTTTTTTTGTATTAAGAGTCCTAATCACAACATAGAATATCCCTACTTTAATAAAACTTGTGTAGCAGAACTAGCAAGCAATCCAACGAATTATGAATAAAAGGTAGGAAAGCATTTGAATCGGTGTGAAAACGTTTCAAAGCAATAGCAATGGCGCGAATATACAGCGATTGATCTCGATATCCACGGTGACAACTTTTGATCCTAAGATCTGCATAAGATGGAGATCAATCCTTGATCCCGAGATTCGCAATACAAAAGTTTGAACCTCAGAAAAAATTGGACTATTAAGCTTTTGAGGAAATCAAATGTATGAATAAATCAAATAAAAGATCAATCTAAAAGAAAGAAAACAGTCTAGGGGAAAGTGAAAGAAAACAGTCTAGGGGGAAGTGAAAGAAAACAGTCTAGGGGAAAGTGTAATAAACAGTCTAGGGGAAAGTGAAAGAAAACAGTCTAGGGGAAAGTGAAAGAAAAAAAGTCAAGGGGAAAGTGAAAGAAAACAGTCTAAGAGAAAGTGAAAGAAAACAGTCTAGGGGAAAGTGAAAGAAAAAAGTCAAGGGGAAAGTGAAAGAAAACAGTCTAGGAGAAAGTGAAAGAAAACAGTCTAGGGGAAAGTGAAAGAAAACAGTCTAGGGTAAAGTGAAAGAAAACAGTCTAGGGGAAAGTGAAAGAAAACAGTCTAGGGGAAAGTGAAAGAAAACAGTCTAGGGGAAAGTGAAAGAAAACAGTCTAGGGGAAAGTGAAAGAAAAGAGTCTAGGGGAAAGTGAAAGAAAACAGTCTAGGAGAAAGTGAAAGAAAACAGTCTAGGAGAAAGTGAAAGAAAAGAGTCTAGGGGAAAGTGAAAGAAAACTAGGGGAAAGTGAAAGAAAACAGCCAAGGGGAAAGTGAAAGAAAACTAGGGGAAAGTGAAAGAAAACAGTCTAGGGGAAAGTGAAAGAAAACTAGGGGAAAGGGAAAGAAAAGAGTCTAGGGGGAAGTGAAAGAAAACTAGGGGAAAGTGAAAGAAAACAGTCCAAGAAAATGCTAGGGAAACAAATCGATAATTTACATCTGTTGCACCGGAGAGATGAATTACTAATGATACAATGATAAGACTAAACGCATAATTTAACAAAAGTGAGAATAAATAAATAGCTAAATTCTCAATATAAATCACATCTGTTTCACGATCGACGAATACAATAAAAGGTTCTGAACAATTTTTTTATAATAAAACTTTAGTTTTAAAGGAACTGTAGACGTAATTTGAATTCAAAGAGTGGCATTTTCAATTCACAACGATACACTTAAAACCTTAATCTAAACAAAAATGAGAAGGATATCGTTTTTCTTTTCTAAAAAAGGTTAAAGTCTGGCAATTTCCTTCTTATCCACTGCTGCGTCAAATGCACAAGTTAATTTGGTAATTTCTGACCGTAGGGGTTGTGATACGGCCATCTAAAATATAAAATATATATTTTTTAAATCACAAAACCTCGACAAGACAATCGTGTCATGCCACTGTTAATGAAGGGCCACTTGAAATCCCGCCTACAGTCCCTTTAAGTCTCAAGAAGTTTAAAACCAAGACGATAATATTTAAGAAATATTTGTTAAATAAAAATTCAATATCCAGATCTCAGGGTTGGTTATATTCTGCCAAATTTTTATATCTAAATCCGCACCCCGTCTCCTGGAAGCAGAAGGGTTCAGTCGGATAAATCTAATTCTAGTTGAACAGGATGGTCTCAGGGTCGTCATCCTCCAGTCGTTTTATATGCCTGGAGTACAATTTGATTATTTAATCTTTAAAATAAAGCACTTCGCTCATATGTATATATATGTTAGACTAGCTGAAGGGCCCGGCGTTGACCGTGAAAAAAAAATATTTAAAAAAAAAATTGGAGTTTTTTTATAGTCTATAACACTCCCCGGCCACCCCTGAGTGTTCAAAAAAATTTCAGCTCAAACGGTCCAGCCGTTTGGCCGGCTATTGGCAACATATTTTTATACGAATGTCTTGTTTAATTATAAAGAATAAAGATAGAAGATGTAGCTGGCCAAAGGCCGGGCACTTCAGCTAAAGTGACAAGAATCCTGAAAAAACTTAAATCCGGTTACGCAGTTTTAGCGCTCGTAAATAATGAAAAAAAAAGAAGAAAGGGAACTTTAGGAAAAGAAAATTAAATATAAAATTTGTTTTCAAAAGATAAAACAAATCTAATCGTTTAAGTCCATTTTAAGCAAAAAATCATTTTTTATCAAAACAGCAAAAAGCAAAGATAAGATTATTTAATAATTGCTGAAAAATCAAGCAGTTAAATAATAAATAAGTTTGTTTCTATTCTAACGTTTAATTAAAAATCAAATCTTTTAAATTTTAAAGATTACAAAGTTTCAAAGCATTTTTTTCTTTAAATCTAAAAGATAAAAACTAAATATTTTTGTAAAATTAACGGATTTAATAAAATGATTGTTTACCTAAGAACATCTTTCTTTGTAATAATCCCCAGAAGTCGACCACTGTGAGTGACAAGGGTTTGACGGAGACCAAGTTTACGGAACATATCGACTACAGTCTCCATCGGAGTCTAAAATATAATTATTATGTGAAAGAAATATAGTATCGAGATTCTTGGAAGATTGACTGACTAACTGCTTGATTAATTAATTAACTGACTCATTGATTGATTGATTAGTTAACCATTTGACTTATTATTTGAGTGATTAACTCGTTATTTGATTGACTACTTAATTAGCTGATTGAGTAATTGATCCTTTGACACTATTACTATTTACTTCTACAACTCAATCAACTGCTAAAGCATAATAAATAATTTATAAAATAGTCGAAATAAGTGCTATTCCTCAAACCTGAGACGAAACTAAAAGCAAGAAGTAGTTAAACTACGTAGACTAAGATAAACCACTTCTCAATCTTTAACTTGAACCGGTGCCCAAAAGAATATGTTCCGTTGTGATAAATATATTCTCTATTTAATAAATACCTGATCTGTGATTGTAATAGGAGCAAGATCCACAATCTTCCTCATCTTGATCGGCGGGGGCCCGCTCCCCACCACCGGCAGGTGCTGGGTGAAAACACAAAGCGTGCTGCCAGGTAAAGCGTCGAGACGTGAGCGTGCGTTCTCGATTGCTAGTTGAATATCTCGCCGGAGAACAAAACCGACAAGGTACTGAGATTCTCTGGAAAACATATACATATATATAATATATATAAAATATACACAATACACATATGTAATCAATTTATTATTTAATCACAAAAGAGATTTATGAAGTTGCTCCAATCTTCGGTGAGGTTTCTCCTCAACTTATATTTTTAAGAGTTGATATGATAAAGCAAAACTATTTCCTCACACCCTCATTTAAGGAAAACCCGCGATTCATTCATTATGCAAAGTTAAAAAATAAAAACTTTGCAATTTTGTGAATTTGATTTTCTTATCAAATTGAATTTCTCACCTTGATACAACGACTGGGAAACCGTTATGATCTGTACTCTTCATAAGCTGCTGGAGCTCTGAGAGCGAGGTTGAGTCCTGAGTGATGACGGCCAACGGTTCGTTACGCTGCGGCTGCATCACATCTGCAGCCAGAGTAGTGTGTCCGAACTCGTCCTGGATAAAACAAATGAGGATTAAAAAAAATAGCTGAAGTTGTTTAACTTAAAAATGACTTGACAAAAACAATATCTATTAGAAAAAATTGATTTTCCATTTCAGAGTTATTTTTACGGATCCAGTGACATACACTTTTCTGTAATCAGGACCTCCCCACCCCCTCGGCCCCTGACTCATTGATTGATTGATTAGTTAACCATTTGACTTATTATTTGAGTGATTAACTCGTTATTTGATTGACTACTTAATTAGCTGATTGAGTATAAATATAATTTCTCAGTTTATAGGCCGTTTCGTGTATAACGTTCGAGGAAACAGTTATAGAGAAAAATCAATTTAGACCAAAATATTATCTATTTGAATGCAATACAAGCTTATAAGCTCCCCTCCCTTCCCCAACATTACGTTTCAAATTGTACCTTACAGTCGAGGAAAGGGTACCCGTTCAGATCAATATGAGCGTCATAGATTCCAGTTTTACCAAGAGCATCTCCAACCCACTTACTCGCCATAGACGCAGCCATCAACGGTACAATATACCTCACCCCGCCGGTCAACTCAAACATGATGACAACCAGACTTACGGTCATTCTCGTCACTCCGCCCAACATGGCCGCCGCTCCAACCATAGCGTAGAGGCCAGGGGTAATACAGGATTCGTCCTGGCTACATTTACCCTCGAAAAACCATGGAAGAGAGTCATGATACGCGAAAACAAACTGTTCCATCCCAATCCCAACAATACGTCCGACAATAGCTCCCATTGCAAGGGAGGGGATGAAGAGCCCGGCCGGGACCTTGATACCAAAGGTAAAGATGGTGATGAGCATCTTGAAAATGAGAGCAAGGAGAAGCTGCCACAGTGCCGTGTAGACTCCGTCCCCTGCCTCTGCAATGGGAACTGCGTGGTTCACGTTGGTAAAGTTTCTGTTCACGTAGTCACAGATATCGTGTTCATTTGTCACTCCGCACTGGGTGAACATCAAGTAGATCAGTTCACTCGTGTTCATCCGAGTATACTTGTTCGGGAATGCAAGCAGGGCGTTGGCACAGGCGATGGCAACAACCTCTAGGACTGGGAATTGACCGAGCCTTGAAGTTTTACGGAACCTGCACCACTTGATATTTGCTCGAATGAAGAGAGAGCCGAGAACTCCTCCGACAATTCCGAGGAACAGGAAGGGAATGAGCTCGAAGAAAAGCCAAGGTTTGCTGTACTCCACGTAGAACAGAACACTGTGCTCGTTTCCAAAAGGATTGATTGATTGAAGCACAAATGCCGCAACTAGGGCACAGAAGAACGACCTCCAGAGCGTCTTCAGAGGAAAGTAGTAGCTGACCTCCTCCAGGCTAAAAAGAACGCCTCCGATGGGTGCTCCGAACGCTACAGAAACTCCTGCAGCTGATGCTGCCGATAAAATCTCTCGTTTCTTAGCTTCGTTTCGGCCATATTTCGGGAACAAGTATGAAATAATGTTACCGATACAGCAAACCATGTGAACCATTGGTCCCTCCTTTCCCAAGCTCATTCCGCTAGCAACAGATAGCATTATACCAACAGCTTTAATCAACAGAGTCCACTTGCCAAGGTATCCTCGGATGATGAAACCGCTGAGGATGGTTTTTATCTCCGGGATACCAGATCCACAGGCGTAGGGAGCAAACATACGTACTAGAGACGCAGCAAGGAATCCGAACAATACAGCCCAAATTATATAGAAAAGGTATCGGAGAATGTATCCTCCGGCACCCTCCCTTGGGATCCCTAGAACCTCCGGCCAGGTCATCCAGAGGGTGCAGTTACCGGAGATATCTCGGACTGTTTCGTTCGAGGACCAACAACACTGCTCCATGTTCAGATAGAACGCGCTCGGACAAATCCCGAACTTGAGATCAATCAGCCAGGATGCTCCGATGTCAATAATTCCAGCCATTACACCAGCTGATACACCAACAAGGAGAACACAGACCCAACCCGACCAGGCATCATGAGCTCCCTTTAACATATCCCAGATACTGTCTCCCTTCTTCTTCAAGATATATCTGGAAATATCAGGGGTTTACAAAATGAAATTAGAGATTATAAACATTATTTAGTTACTTTATTCTGAAAATTGACGTCTGCAACTATTCTTAAGCCATTTTTCGATTTCAAAAGTAAAGCAGAGGAAGAAAATGAAAGATCTTCTTTATAACTCATTTGTATGACAAATTTTGGTTAAATATTTCAAATAAAATTATTGGTTACTGAAAAAAAACTGGGCTTTGGAATTTAACATTAATTTCTACAAAAAAAATGCTTTTCGGGAAATTCATTTAGAAACCAAATGGAATGGATCCTAAGCACTACCCTGAATAGCTCGTTGTACCTGTGCCGTGTTCTATCCCTGGCAATATCTCTCTGCCAGTCAATAGTGTGAAAATCGTCGTATTGACCCATCCCTGGGATATCGTCGACGGCTGCGTGCACGTTATCTTCATGACGAACAGGTTCTGTCTGTTCGTGAACAGATCCCGTGTGCGTAATGTGGAGAAGGTCATCATCACTAGCTGTGCTTGACTGGGCAACATATAAACTAAAAAAAAAGAATTTAGAACAAATCAAATGAGCCTAAACCTTTAAAATGGTGGTTTGATATCAAATATATACCTTGATAAATTATTGATTATTTGACAAGTTATATTTTTTTAAGATCTGGGAAGAAAAAAAAAGAAAACTTTGACATGAACGGGCAAGATTTTATCTCCCTCTTTTATGATTTTAAAACAAAATTTGATTTAATTTCCCCCTACAAAAGCATTAATTTCCCCCTAAAAGCATTAATTTCCCCCTAAAAGCATTAATTTCCCCCTAAAAAGCATTAATTTCCCCCTAAAAAGCATTAATTTCCCCCTAAAAGCATTAATTTCCCCCTAAAAGCATTAATTTCCCCCTAAAAAGCATTAATTTCCCCCTAAAAAGCATTAATTTCCCCCTAAAAAGCAATAATTTCCCCCTTAAAAGCATTAATTTTCCCCGATTTAAAAGGCCTAAAAAAGACATACATAACTTCTACAGGGGAAATAATTTTCAAGATGAAGGAGGGGGGGGGACATGATTTTTTCAGAAAATATACACCCCTGTTGTTTGATGTCTAATATAAACCTTGCTGGGATTTCCTTGGTTTAATATCCAAATATGTACTTACTTACTGGATTATCCATGTTTTGATATTAAAATATGTATCTTGCTGGATTATCCTTGATGTTGATTTGATATCCAATTATATATTTTGGTAGATATCCCAAATATATTTCTTGCTAGTGTATTCATGATTTGATATCCAAATACATAACTTGTTCGAGTATTCAAGGTTTGATATCCAAATACATACCTTGCTAGAGTATCCATGGTAGGATATTAAAATATAAAACTTGCTAGATTATCCATGGTTTGATATCGAAATATATACATTGCGAGATATCCATTGTTTTATATCCAAAAATAAACCTTGTTGGGTTATCCATGATGGTTTGATATCCAAATATATACCTTGCTAGATATACATGGTTTTATATCCAAAAATATACCTTGCTGGGTTATCCATGATGGTTTGATATCCAAACGAGTCTCCTGTATATCTATCTATTAGATCACTTTCTGGAGAACAATCTTCAGCCATTAATGTTGAATTAATAAAATAACATTTTCTGAAATAAAAAAAGTTTTCATCAACGATGAACCATATTTAATGTAGCAGAAGCATAATATTTGCATATAAATAACAGTCGAATAACTAATAAAACGTGCTGAGACACAGGAAAGAAATTCTACTGATTGATGATAATAGTTTATTTCTATGAGCCATTAGGCGGGCTCCTTAAATATCAATTTGGGGACTATCTATCTGAACGGTTTATTGACCCCCACCCCCTTCCCATCTTTAATTTTGGTAAATGACATCGATTTCGACTATTTTCTACAAAATTTACAAAAAATTGTTTTGCATTATTTCGACAGATAATTTGGGTCTGTCCTATATTCCTATCAATTTTGTACATGGATCTTATATGTTAGACATGGATATAATTGACCAGGTGGCCGCAGCGCTAGCCCCCCTAGCCTGTCCTAGCCACAGCGCTCGGCCCGGAAAGTGTCTTAACCTAACCTAACCCTAAATAATAAAACATAAATACTAATTTTAATTTCGTCATGTAAAAAATTTATAGGAGGGGGGGCCTGGGGGGGCGGGGGGGTCCAAAAATCGTTTACTAGGACAGACCCATTGCATGTCTTGAAACATGACAGCAGAATATGATTTTTAGAATCTTTCGTTATCTGTTTATCACACAAAGCCTTGCTATTTACAACATTGAAAGTTATCTTAAAAATAGATTATACGATATGATTTCTTCATTTAAATATGAGATGGGTGAGTGGAAAAACACTTGCTTAAGTTTAGAGACAGACTCAGATTTTTCTTAATAATGGTTTGGTTTGGAAATTTTTGTTACATCAGAAACAATGTCGTCTTTACAGAAAAGAAATCATAATAATTAAGCTTAATAAGGTCACAAAAGGATGTAGGGTTCTATTACGATTTTACTCCAACCATTGGAATTTTAATTCACAGTGGCGCACCTGGGGGGGTGGGACGATCATGATTTCGCCCCCCTCAGCATTTATTCCCCCTTTGGCTCCCCCCCTCCTCACTCGAGTCCAGCATGGTCATGATTGTGGGAATTGTGGACCATATTTTCAAGGGCGTATACAGAAATAAAGCAGGGGGGCGAAATTTGAAATGTAGTATAAGATACATTAAAGGTACACATACAGTCCCATTACTATACAAATTACTGTATAAATAATAAATGTACTATACTTTATCTCTCCTTCAGACAAAACTAGCAGAAAAAATCCATTGTTTCTAAAAATCGACATTTTTTATACTGTTATGTTAGTAATAATTAGCTTATTTAAACTAGAGATAGTAAAAGCTACATTTTTGAAAATGAAAAACTCAACTCAAACTTAAATTCTTTGACAAGGGCGTATACAGAAATAAATCTAGGAGTAGGGGGGGGGGGGGGGCCAAATTTTAACTGTGAATTCAAAACATTTAGCTTCCTGGATATCAGGCATAAGTATAAGATACATTAAAGGTACACATACAGTCCCATTACTATACAATTTACTATATAAATAATAAATGTACTATACTTTATCTCTCCTTCAGACAAAACTAGCAGAAAAAATGCCTTGTTTCTAAAAATCGACATTTTTTATACTGTTATGTTAGTAATAATTAGTATTTAAACTAGAGATAGTAAAAGCTACATTTTTGAAAATGGAAAACTCATATTAAAGTTAAATTCTATGAGATGGGGAAAAGGACTAAGGTCCATAAAATAATTATGACTTGTAAAAGTTTCTGTTTTGAAAAAAGTAGGAGTACAATTGCAATCTATATGATAAAGATCTTAGTTAGTTCATTTATATGTTTGCTATGGCTGGCCAAACGGCTGAATCAATTGGGCTGATTTTTAGTGAAATTGGGATGACATAAGTTAATGAATTATAAGTTTTTATTTTAATTCTATTTTTAAAATTCCACGGGCAACTCCTGGCAATTTAGCTAGTTTGTAATAAAAAGAAAGATTACAAAACGGGGCGGAGCAATGAATAAAGTAAATTAAATCCAGATTTAAAAAACTAAAAATGGTCTTTTACTACCTCCAAACTCAAGCCTTCGTGACTTGGCATTTAAAAATAATTGTTTTACTTCGGTATCCCTGATAGCGCCAATCCGTATGTATGTGCATTCTATAAGATAGATTTTTTATTCAGACTTCTGTCATGGTGGCTCTGGTCCACGTATACAATCAATTCTTAGTGCACAGAATGAACAGCAAACTAATTTTTGTTTATGTTCTTCACTCTTGAGTTTAATAATTGAAAAGTGTGAAAGCTCTGAGTTCTGGGGGGGCACTGCCCCCCTTGCCCCCCCCCTGTATACGCCCTTGCATATAAAACAAATTTTGCCAATAAAGAAAAAAAATACCAGCGTTTTTCTCTGGCGCTTCGCGCATGATTTCTAATAGAATTTCTCACCATTTTCCCGTTTTCAACTCAAAGAAAGTCGGTAATTCTTAATTTATCCTCTCACAAAAAAAACCTGTTTATATGTTACTTCTTAATTAGGTATTACACTGCATACATGTAAGGTTACAAAAAAACTGACAATCTAAGAGAAATATCAAGAAATAATAAATAGTATATTGGAATATTAGTACTTTTGCAGGCTATAAGAGGAAAAGGGGTAACCCCTTACTTGCAAACAATGGCAAAGGGACTACAGAGTACAAAAGGACTATTTATGGATTATAGACCGACGAAAGATAGTCAAGTACTTCCATGACTGCTTACCGGACTAAACAGATCTACGATTAAGGAACTTCATATATAGTGAACAAAAAGGAATGGTGGATGAATTTGAAAAAAATCTGCTGTAGACTGTAATAAGGAACTGTATACGCATAGTGAATATGACTAAGCCAGGAACTAACAGACTTAACAGACACTAAAAAAAGAAGACACTAGTAGAGCAGAAATATGTTAGCGCTTCGCGCTCACACTCAACAAATTCGCTCTTGTCGTTCATTTTAAACATTTTAAACATATTTAATAAGAAATCGATCTATTTAATTTGAGCACAGAGCCAAACCTGCAACAATTAAAATATTCTGTTTTTCGATTTCAACCCCTGATAACAACGCTTTCAAAAGTGCTAGATGCGCCCCTGGACTTTATATCAGACCCTGGAATAGTACTTTAAACCCTAGGATTATACTCAAAACAATTGGATTATATTTCAAACCCTGGGATTATACTCCGAACCCTGGGATTATATTTCAAACCCTGGGATTATATTTCAAACCCTGGGATTTAACTCCGAACCCTGGGATTTTTACTCCAAACCCTGGGATTTAACTCCAAACCCTGGGATTTAACTCCAAACCCTGGGATTATATTTCAAACCCTGGGATTTAACTCCAAACTCTGGGATTTTAACCCAAACCCTGGAATTGTATTCCAAACCCTAGGATCATACCATGGGAATATACTCCAAACCCTTGGAATTATACTCCAAACCCCGGGATTATACTCCCAGCCATGGAACTATACTCCAAAACCCCGGGATTTTGCTACAAAACCCTGAGATTATTCTCCAAACCCTGGGATTTTACTACAATATCCTGGGATTATGCTCCGAACACTGGGATTTTACTCCAAAGTCCTGGAATTATACTTCAGTCCCTGGGATTATGCTTTAAACCCTGAGATTTTACTCCAAAACCTGGGGTTTTGCTCCGAAATCCCAGGGATTATATTCCAAACTCTGGAATTTTACTCCAAACCCTGGGATTTTACTCCAAACCCTGGGTTTTTACTTCAACCCCTGGAGTTTTAGTCTAAAACCCAGGGATTATACTCCAAACCCTGGGATTTTACTCCAATCCCTGGGTTTTTACTTCAACCCCTGGAGTTTTAGTCCAAAACCCAGGGCAGGGATTATACTTCAAACCCTGGGATTTTACTCCAAACCCTGGGATTTTACTCCAATCCCTGGGATTATACTCCAACCACTAGGATTATACTCCAAACCATGCCACCCTTCTCTGGTTGAGGTGTCCTGAGGAATAGATCTGCTCAACCTCTGAATAAGAAAATCTGTGTAAACGGAAATAGGATTACAAGGTTCCACTGGTTCTATGGGGGATTGATTTCCCCAATGGTTTACCCACCTCACACAAAGAGTATGAATTCCTAAGAGACCCTGTAAAAGGATCTGAGGGGACAATCTTCAAAATCAAAATAATTAAGTAAACTGAGTAAACCATAAAAGCCAAGTTTTATTTGAGAATATATATATAGATGTTTATAGCAACTTCTCTAGGTATAGCTTTAGCTCGGACTATTGCAGAGTCAACAATTGAAGAATTGTAATCCCTGCTGAGAAGAAAGTCTCTTAGTTTTAAGAATTGTGCATCCCTAAGTTCTGGTTTGCTGCAAATTCGTACAATTCTGTATGCAAGTGAATAGTGTATGTTGTTAGAAATATGTGCTGGGTGGCAAGATGATGGAAGTAGGTACATACATCTATCTGTGAGTTTTCTATAGAGATCTGTTGTGATTTTTCCATCTTCACTGTACAGTTTTGTGTCAAGGAACGGAATACTTTTTGTTCTGTGGCACCAACAGTCATGTTTATCCTTTAAACCACAATAAAATGGAGAACTATGTTCTAGAGTAAACTTGATTGTAGGATGAATTTTATTGATATCATCCAGGAATTGATATAATTTCTCAATAGAATCTGTCCAGATTCCAAAACAATCATCCAGAAATCTTTTCCAGGTCTTCAGGGGGCACTCATCAGTTATTTTGTATGTATTTGCAAGTTTCACAATTTGATCATCAAGCTTAGCCATAAAAATGTTTGCATAGGAAGGGGCTGGATGTATTCCCATTGCTGTTCCTATCAATTGTTTGTACAGTTTACCACCAAATTCAAACATGTTATTTTTCAAACAAATGTTTAGCAGCTCAATCAAGAATGACGTAGGTACAGATTTATCAGTTCTGCTTTCAAGAGCTTCTCTACAGAATTCTAGACCATCATCCTGAGGTATATTTGTGTACAATTCTG